TAAAGAAAGCAATCAGCTTTATAAAATATATAGTTGTCTCTTGGTACCTAAGACGGTTGGTTCCAGTACTCCTTCCCCCTGGATGCCAAAATCCACAGAAGCTCAAGACTCTTACATAAAGTGGTGTTTTGCATGTAATCTATGAAGTCCTCCTGTATACTTTAAATCATTATCAGCTAATTTATATTAACCAACCCAATGTAAATGTTATGTAAATAGCTATATCATTTACAGAATGACGACAAGGGAAAAAGTGCATGTTCAGTACCAACACAGTTTTTTGCCAGATATTTTCAATCTGTGATTTGAATCCAGGGATGTATAACCTGCACATATAGAAAGCTGACTGTATTCTTTGTCTTATTCTCTTTGATGGTCAAAATACTTTGCTGAGGTAAGCAGGGCAGGAGTGAAAGAGAAGCTTATCTTAATTAACTTAGACTTTCAAACTGTTAGGGCAGATGAACTGTGCCCAGAGAGGGCAATTTCCCTGCCCTGGGTTTTACTGTAAGTTAGTGTCAGGGAGGTGTGCTGATAGGCTGTGTATCTGTTACAGTCTCATGAAGACCGTGTAAGGAAGGATGAGGTTCCTTTCTCCTTTCTGTAGTTGAGGAGAGAGGTTCATTGAGGAGAGATGAACAACACAGGGTCACACAGCAAGGGCCAAAACTCCCATTCCATACGTCCACACTGCCTCCATGTGTGAATTCAAGTTCTGACACTGTCACCCCTAAGCAGCCTTGAAAAACACTTCCTTCTCTGTAATCTCAGAATAACAATCCTCAGCTCTTTTTTTTTGTTGTTGTTTTTGTTTTTGTTTTTTGGTACTGGGGATCGAACTCGGGTCCTTGCACTTACAAGGCAGGTGGTAGAACCACTGAGCTAAGTCCCTGGCCCTATCCTCAGCTCTCTTGGGTCTTGGGTTGTGAGGGTCAAATGAGAGAATGTATTTTAACAAGAAGCTTGTATTTGTTTAGCTGTATAGAGTTCACAGGAGTACTGCTGGTGCGATCTCTTGCCTAGGCAGAGGCACTTCGTGAATCCCATATTTTGGATTTAGGATCCTGTTCCTCAAGGGCTGAGATGTGTCACTTTCCCCATGTCTGGCCTAGAAAAGGTGCTGCATTCTGAAAAAAGTTTTGGCCTTATAACATAAGGAGGATAGGACCTATCCTGGGAGTGGGAAGAAGGGGCTTCTACTCCCTGCTTGGACACTGTTTTGCTGTGTGACATCAGGTATATAACCTCTCCATTCTGAGCCGTAGTTTTCTCTTAAGTAAAGTGAGACTCTAGAGTTTTGCTTTCAAACTTTAAAATCAGCAAAATTCTTTCTTTTTAAAAGTATTGGCACCTGAACACAAACCAAATAAAAGTAGTACTGTTTTGGTTGATATGGGGAGGAGCCTGGGGCCTTCTCAGTTGTCCATTCACCTGCATCCCCTTCTTGTGCCTTGTGATCCTGTGGTGCACAAGTATCTATGATGCTCTCCAGCTCTAGTCTAATATGTCTCCTTCCATGGCCAATCCTGGTCCACCTACAGGCCTCCACTGATTCTGGCCATTGGAATCAACTCCAGCAAATGCCTGTCCATGATGATTGGTTGTAGGTCCCAGACAGCACCAAATGCCTTCCCCCAAAGACCCTGACACCTCAGCTGGTCTCTACTGGATCCTAACAGAAAGCAGATCCTTCCCAGAAAGGGGTCAGAGCACACACAAACTCTATGTGCTTCCCCTAGGAAGTATATCCTCAGGAGTGTGTGGGCATGAGGGGCAGGTAGACACCCCCTCGTTGTGGGTGGCCCTTCCAAGTCACACAGGCCATCCCAGCAGAGGGTAGTAAGAGCCCTTGTGGTAACCTGCTTCTTTCACCTTCTCAGGAGAAGGCCATTAGCATCTGGGAGTCCAAGAATTTCTTCTTTGAACTTGAGCCTCTGCCAGGGGCCGTGGAAGCGGTGAAGCAGATGGCCAACCTACAGAAGTAAGTCTGTCTTCATGTCTGCACCTTGCTGCTACCTCCCCTCTCTCATTAGTCCTGTGTGTGGCCAGCCTGCTTGCTCATTGCTTACCCTGACAAAACCCCTACTGGACAGAGGCTGTGGGTACCAGGCTGCCAACAGTAGCAGAGCTGGGTGCTTGTGCTCTGGGGCTCACAGCCCAGGGTTGCAGGTATTAAGCCAAGATGGAAGCAGGTAAGATGACCTCAGGTTGTGCTAAGTGCTGTAGGGAAGAGGCTGAACAGGAGCCCATACTTGGAAAGGGTTGTTCAGGAAGGAGGAGGTTATTGTTGGAGAAACTCCAGTTTTGTTCTAGTGAGATGAGAGATTCTGTGGGCTGAGGCTCCACTCAGTCAGTACCCATCACACACTGTCCACTGAAACCCAATAGCAATTATATGATGTGCTTCCCTTAGAATGTTTTAAAACACAGCACTATTGATATTTAATTCCTACCCTGTAGAATTCACACATTTAGTGTGTACAGTTGTTTTTAATATGTTCAGTAAGTTTTGTAGCCATTGCCATTTTTAATTTCAGAACTTTTTCATCAACCTGAAAAAGAAATCCTATACCCATTACCAGTCACTACCTATCTTGTCCTCCTTCTGCAGCCCCTGGTGACCACTGATTTCCTTGTCCTTTTAAATTTGTCTGTTCTGAATGTTTCATATAAATTGCATCATACAATGTGATGTCTTTTGGGTCTGACGTGTTTCATAATGTTTTTAAGATTTGTCCATGTTGGATCATCAGCATCTATCGGGGCTTACTTTTTATTGCTGAGTAATATTCCATTGTATGCATAGATACATTTTATTTATTCATTCATCCATCAGTTGACAGACTTGTGGGCTGTTTCCATGTTTTGGCTATTGTGAATAGTGTTGCTATGATCATTGTGTATTTGTTTCTCATCCAATTTGGTTTGTGACCAGAATTGTGTAAAGGATTAAGTTTGTGACCCAAAGTACCACTGTATTTATATCCTTTGCTCATTTTTTCAATTGGGTAATTAATTATTCCTTTATTATTGTTAAATTATAAGATCTATTTATATATTCTAGAAACAAGTTCCTTATCAGATATATGATTTACAAGTATATTCTTTCATTCTTTAGATTGTTGTTTCACTTTCATGACTGTATCCTTTGAAACACAAAAGTTCTTAATTTTGAAGTAGTTAATTTACCTTTTTTTGTTGTGTTTGTTGTCATATCTAAGAAGCTATTGCCTAATTTAGATCACAAAGAATTGCTCCTGTATTTTCTTTAGGAGTTTTTTTGTTTTGTTTTGTTTTTTTCTGGTACTGGGAATCAAACTTGGGACCTTGTGCTTGCAAGGCAGCAGAACCACTGAGATAAATCCCTGGCCTAGGAGTTTTAATCTTAGATCTTATATTTAGATCTGTGATCCATTTTCAGTTTTTATGTATGGTATAAAGTGAGGATTCAACTTCATTCTTTTGTATGTGGATATCCAGCTCTCCCAGCACCATTTTTTTCCAGTTGGTGCATCCCCCTAGAGTTGTCTTGGTACATTTGTTTACATTTGACCCTAAATATAAGGGTTAAATTTTATTGGCCACTGTTTTACTTGAATTTAGCAACATGTGTGACAAATCAAACATAAGGTATGGTTTAGCCTTCAGTGTGCCTTATAAATGCCTCCAAAAATTGTCAGCTTTAAAAATTCTAATATAAAGAGGCATCACAGAAACACAAAATGCTTGGAGTTTGGGTTGAATTATAGACCTTGTTTGGTTTTTAATTTATCTTTGGACTTGAGTCTTGTAGAGTACTATATTTGATTGTTTTATGGTATGAAATTGACTTACAGTAGATGTGACAAGAGCCTGGAGAGGACCTTGGACCTCTATATCTGGACCATTGGACCTCTATATCTGTGGGTTCTATGTCCCTGGAATTAACCAATCTCAGATAGTCCAAAAATATTTTGAAAAAAAATACATTTGTGCTAAGCGTGTGCTATGTATTTAGGCCTATTATGTCAGCTTGATGTTACTATAACAAACTATCTGAGGTAATAAACAATAACAAAAGAGGTTTACTGTGGCTCATAGTTGGAGAAGTTTTAATCCATAGTGACTTGCCCCCATTGCTTTAGGCCTATAGTGGCTGAGTACATCATGGTGGGAGTACATGGTAAAGGGGGTCCATCTACCCCATAGTGGCCAGAGAGGTGGGGGGAGAAAGGAAGGGATTACAGTTCCAATATCTTTTTCAAAGTCATGCCCCTGATGACCCAGCTTCTTCCCATTAGGCCTAACTTCCTACCTCCTAATAGCTCCAGGGGCCTGGGACAAGCCTTCAACATGTAGGCCTTTGGGGGGCATCCAAGATTAAACCACAGCATCTGTGATCATTGCATGTGTACTAAACTTTATATAGATTTTCTTTGCATTATTCCCTAAACAATGCAGTATAAAAGCTATTTACATAGGATTTTCATTGTATTAGGTGTCATAAGTAATCTAGTGGTGACTGAAAGTATGTGGGAGCATATATGTAGGTTGTATACAAATAGTATTACATTTATGTATGGACTATGAGTGTTAGGGAATTGATCATGTTAAAGTATTCTGTGATGCCGCCATCACAGGCTACATTTTCCTGGTGCTTCTTGGCTCTTAGAATGGCTTCATGCTTTTATCTTTAGTTTCCCTCCCACCAAGGCCACAGAGAGACAGAGAAGTTGAAACCTGTTTCTTCAGGGCTGAACCCATAAAAGACAACCTGGCCTGTGATAGGTCAGAAGTAGCCCACTCCTCATGAATAAGCAATAGCCCAGCCCAAAACCAATAAAAGGACCTTCCTTTCTTTGTTCTCTTCTTTTTCTTCTTCTGCCCCTTCTCCCTCTCTGAATAAAATCTCCCGCTGCTTGAATAAAATCTCCCGTTGGACCTCTCGGTGTGTGCGTGGCCTAGTTGTTGAGCGTCACTATTTCCTTTCAATGAGTATCTCTGGATTTTGGTACTAGCAGGTGTTGACAGTCTGAAACCAATCCCCTGCAGATATTGGGGGTCAACTATATTAGTACTTAAACTTTTCAAAACTTTTCTCACTCCTGGCTCTATGCATCCTGGCTACAGTACTGGGTACTGCACAACATAGTGGTTTAGAGTGAGGAGCTGTAGCTAGACTGTCAGGTCTACTTCCTGGATTCTGAGGAACCTGTCTCTCAGATACTAATCAAGTCTTCAAGGCTTCCTAGGTCTCAGTTGCTTTGTCTATAAGGTGAAAATAGTGAGAAAGTGCTCAGGGTAGCACCTGGCATACAGTAAGCATTTAAAGGTAGCTGTGCTCTTGTAATTTTGTAGGATTTAGTTGGCACACCACAAGAAAAGCATTCCTGAGCTGACACAGCTGGGGAAAGAGTGAATTCAGTAAGCTGCTTCAACACAGAGCTTTCAGTATCCATTGTGGCAGGAAAGAAAGTAACTTTCATCCAGCCCAGTCTAGCCTTCTTATCAAAGTTTCTTTATTTTCACTTTCCTAGAAACTCCAGTTTGGGAAATGCGAGTCTAGACTGTACCCATTGGGCCCATACCTTCCTTTGGGCACCTAACTTGGTAGAAGATTCCCGTGGTCTGGCATTGTGTGTCATTTGTATTCTCACAGCTGTCTGGAAGGAAATGCAGCCAGTCCCAGCTACCACTTACATTCTCAAATAACTGAAAGCAAATAGCTTTTCATGGCCTTGCCTCACTCAGAGGTGCTTTTCTTTGTCCTGACTCGAGATGTAGGTAAAATTAGAAATGATTGGTCTAGTAGAAATCAGTCCTTGATGTAGCAAAGTCTGCATCCATAGTGAGCTCCATTCACCAAGTCACTCTTTCCAATGTCAGGTTCCCGAGGTCAAATATTATCTTGGTTCTGATTCTATTCTCAGTTCCCAGAATGACACCTGTTACATAGTACACATGTAAAATGTTTGCTGAATGAATAACACCTTAGTGTACATATTAACATAATAGTAATTCTTGGGCTCTTTTTCAAAACATAGATAATAGTGCCTGGGTGTGTAACTCATTGGTAGAGCACAAGCTTAGCATGCATGAGACTGTAGGCTCAATCCCCAACACAAAAAATGAGTGAATGAATTAATTAACATGGTTGAAAATGGGCATAGTGTTGTGAGGTTGTCCCAGTAGGAGACAGAGAGAGGAGGATCTCTTGAACCCAGGGTGTTATAGCTTGTGTCTAGATGTCCCCCCAAAAGCCTCATGTGGTCATAGGTGGGACTTTTTCAGAGGTGTCTGGATCTAGAGTGGGTGATGCTAGGATTAAGGGTGTGTGATTAGCAAATTAGTCCTCTGATTGGCTTGTCATAACTCTGGGTAGGATTAAGGGTGTCTTAACCTGGGTGTAAGTGCTGGATACAATATAAAGTGACTGTTGCTTATAGCTTGCTACCTTCTGCCTGCCATGAGCTGTTTCCCCTCTTCTATGCCACTCTGCCTTGGAGCCAGCCAATTATGGATGAAACCTCTACAAACTGTGAGGCAATATAAACCTTTCCTCCTTTAACTGGGTATTAGGTATTTTGTCTCAGCAACCAGAAAAGTAACTAAGACACAGGGGTTCTGGGCCAGACTAGGCAACATGGCAGAACCTTTTCTCAACAACAGTGACAACAACAAAAGTGGGTGGGATCCTTTATATTATTCTATAGTTTTCTATTTTTCTCTAAACAACACATCTTGGAAATGTTTCCATATCAGTACTATAAGACTATCTTATTCTTTAAAATTTTCTTTTTACTTTTAAAAAATAGAGACCAAAATCTTGCTATATTGTCCAGACTGACCTCAAACCCGTGGGGTCAAGCCATCCTCCCGTCTCAGCCTCCCAAGTAGCTGAGACTGCACACATGTGCCACATTACTTTGCTATCCTGTTTTTTAAAAATAATTTCTGCCTATCATTCTACAGAAGTTATACCATAACTTATGCAATACTCTC